TATGCCGAGGCGCCGGGAACCACAGCCACTCGGTCTTGGAAGGGTTGAGCCTGAGTCTGTTTCCCCCCATCCAGACCCGTACGGCCTCCAGGCAACGGGCCATCACGTCAAGGGCATCGTTGGGGTGGCCTGGGGTGGAAATGTACAGCTGAGTGTCATCAGCGTACTGATGGAAATCCACCCCAAAGCCACGAATGATAATTACCTTCTCATCCACTGTCTAACCTGATATTTTAGGTATTTTCCGTAAGGTCTTTCCTCTTGTTATGTTTCAAGATGAAGGATGAAGGGAAAACAGAATATACTTATTTTTGGATTGATCTGAATTTGGCAGCAACTAAAAACGCTTCCCTGAACTCAATTAGTAACTGATTCCCTTCGTTTACTGGGATGAACAAAGGATGAGAAAAACTAGTATAATGATTTTGGTGTTTTAAAGGGAAGCTGTGATTTTGAAGATTTGGATGTCGGGATCAACATTTATTGACCTTGAAAAAAATTAAAGCATCCTATAATATCTTGTGAGCAATGGTTACTAGTTTTTTTTTTAAATCCAAGTATTTGATGGATGTATATTTTTAGCAAGTGACCAAAGGTTAGCTTAGCAGAATCTCTTGCATTTTTCTCACTCTCTAACTAGCAATTAAATATGTGAAAGGGAAACAGAGGACGTGAAGATTGGTCCCTTGAACAATGCTGTGATGTATGGAATAACAGTGAAATGTTAAGACTGCTTCAGAATTAAAAGTGAAATTGGAGCTAAAAAATATTATCATTTCAGTAGATTTCAGGGCCTAATTAGACACTTGAATGGAGCACATTATGCTTAATGGCTTTCAGACAGAAATATGTTACATGAAGTTCATCATCTTCTCTCCATATAAACTTTAACCATTGAACCAGAATGGGTGGGCAGAAATGCTGAATATTATATCAAGAAACATGTTTTTCTAATCCTAAATGCTATTGGAATAGATTAATGGCTGAGACATCTTTAGGCCCTTAATGTACACAGTCTCTGTTCAGCATAATTGTTGACAGTTGAACAATATCTCCACCTATTGGATATTGAAGAAAATATCCAGTATTTTTCAGTTTTCAATAGTCCAGTGCATTTTGGATGAAAGTGTCAGACACTTATAATGATGGATGGTGCCATATACACTCTTCTCACAAGGCCAGACCATAAACATTTGGCCCCAGTACAAATAAACTCAAAGTTGTACTCCTTTCTACACGGACTGTTGGTTCCACACAAGTAATAAAGGTTTTTAACTACTGATCCCTCGTTGTCAATTTTATCTTTTCCCCACTGATTTACCAAGTTTTATCCCTTTCCTCACGTAACATAATTTATTTGTTACACTGTCACTTGCAGATTAAATATACGTCGTCTTCATGTTATGAAAAATGCGGGGGGTAGAAGGAAATAAAATCAAAATTGCTGGGAGAAGCAATAACAGATTTCGGTATGCTGATGATACCAGACTGCTCAGTGGAAACCTTAACAATGGAACTAAAGCTGAAATATTATCTAATTAAAAAGCAAGAGTCACTGGAGAAGACTCTTAAACTTGGAAAGAGGTTGATAGAAGGTAGGGTGGCTAGATGATAACATAAGCATGTGCTTAGAGGAACTCAGTTATTGGATAACATTTCTGAAGAAAGGATGTTCATCATCTCACAAAACATCAGAAGCAAATGAATGATTACACAGCAACCACTAAAGGCCACATGGCGGGAATCTGTGGCATTGCATTCAGTTTGGCTTGTATACCTCTGTTGTGAAATCATTTAGTTGAGATGGGCAGCCATACAAATTGAATAAATAATACAGTAAATACCTGAACTGTGGAAAACATACCCATTTCTCTTGGGCATCTTAGGAGAAATTTGGCAAGATTTCCTACATTTTTGGCAGAAAACATTTTTTCCTTTCTTGTTGCATCTCCTGTTTCACCGATTTCCCTATTTTCCGGTTCCATTAATTTCCATTCTAGCCGCTCTGCAATTTTACTTTGATATTTTCTCTGGTCTGCAAGTTGAGTTTGGAGTTATTTGTGACTCCTGCTTTTCAGATGTGTTTTTAAGTTCTTGCTGTTCTAGTTTGATACTGCATTTATTTATCATGACTTCTGAAATAAAGTAACAATAGCATAATTGTATATATAGACATTATACATCCATTTAATAGCAAATATAGTACAAAAATTTGTACTGACTTATATTATGAGTTGGACTAAAGAGAACTTTACATTGTGAAACTTTGC